TTAATACTGCCGAGATGCCACAGCCTTGGTGAAATTGCTCATTTGTGTGATACAAATTTCTCAATCCCAGAAAGGGTGAGGTATTGTGAACCTGATCATTTCTGGAATGTCTCATTTGAGGAAGCTATGGTTCTAGTTCATCCTGTTACTAAATCATGGCAGGGGGTCCAGAGGCCAGGTCCAGAGAGCTGGCCTGACTCTTGATCTTTCCATACCAGATAAGTAAATGAGTGTGCTGTGCCCTGGGTGTCTAAAAGCTCTTATGGTTCAGCTTTTGTGATATGACGGTGGTGACCACGAGGCGTGGGTAAGAGGAAGGCAAAGGGACAGTGAAACACCTCCAGCTGGGTTAGCTAATGTCCCTGTCACTGCCTCAGAGGTATGACTGCTCTGAAAATGAGCAGACAGTTTTATACACAAAATACTTAGCAAGCTCCGTGTTTATCCCCACTAGTTAGAAAAGGTAAATTTCATTAGAGTCTTTGTGTTGGCCTTGCATGTCCTGGTGGGCTGACATCAAAGAACTGGTGAACTGCTGGCAGAATAGAGGCCAAATGAAAAAAAAAAAAAAAAACTAAGAAAGAAAATTTTCTTACTTCAAGAAAGGTATATACATGAAATCACACAATGCATAATTTTTTTTTTTTTTTTTTGGTCGGCCGTGGGGCTTGAACTCTGGGCCTGGGCACTGTCCCTCAGCTCTTCAGCTCAAGGCGAGCGCTCTACCACTGGAGCTACAGTGCCACTTCCGGTTTTCTGGTGGTTTATTGGAGATAGGAGTCTCACGGTCTCTCCTGCCCGGGCTGGCTTTGAACCGCGATCCTCAGATCTCAGCCTCCTGAGTAGCTAGGATTACAGGCTTGAGCCACCAGCGCCCGGCACAATGCATAATTTTTAAATAGCCTTTTGGAGATATAATTCAATTGCTTCACTCTTTTAAAGTGTAACAGTGTAGTCTGTTTTTGTGTGTGCTGGTCCTGGGGCTTGCATTCAGGGCCCAGGTGCTGTCCTTGAGCTTTTTTTGCTCAAAACTAGCGCTTTACCACTTGAGCTATAACTCTACTTCTAGTTTTTTGGTGGTTAATTGGAGATAAGCATCGCACAGACTTTTCTGTTGGGCTGGCTTTGAACCATGATATTCAGATTTCAGCCTCCTGAATAGCTAGGATTACAGATCTGAGCCACCAGTGCCTGGCTTCTTTAACATATTCTTCACCGTGTATAACCACCACAATTTTAGAGCATTTTCAAAAGCCTAAAATTCTGTAACCTACACTCACACTTCTCCCTTCCATTCCCCACTCAGCTGTAGGCAGCCACCAACCTGCTTTCTTTCTCTATAAATTTTCAAATACTTAACATTTCTTTTACATGTGGCAGTACAGGTGGCTCACACCTGTAATCCTAGCTACTCAGGAGACTGAGATCTGAGGATCATGGTTCAAAGCCATCCTGGGCAGGAAAGTCTGTGAGACTAATTAATCACTAAAACTGGAAGTGGAGTTGTGGTTCAAGTGGAAGAATGCTAACTTTGGGCAGAAAAGATCAGGGACACTGCTTGGGTCTTGAGTTCAAAGTTCAGGACTGGTATGCACGCAATGCATGCACGCATACAAACACAAAATGTAATATATGCTAAAATGATTCAAATTTATACTTTAAAAGGGTAAAGAACATAAATTATGTTTCAATAAAGCCATCATAAAGAAATAAATGGAAAGAAAAATCTGGGCCCTCAAACCAATCTAGTATCTTCCCATGAAATCAGCTCCTTGATCTTCCTGCTTAGTGGGAGCTATCATTCTGCTGTGATCAAGGTAGGCAAAGCCCATTTGTTCCTCCAGCTCCAAAGCAGACAATGTCTACAACTGAGCAGCTGGACACAGGATTCCTTCTTGGCTTTGTATCTCAGAACTCACAGAATGTCTACAGATAACAAAAAAGGTGAATGTGAATAGAATGTGAATATCGAATTTATTCAGGCAAAAAGAAACAAGGTTTCCTTTGGGCAAAAAGGGTCCCAGTAGAAAGTTACAAGGAAAGTGGCTAAATTGAGGGGTTTTTAAGCTTAACACAGCACTAGGATATGCTGACTGGTTAAGCTTTATGCAATTGAGGCATAGAAGGATTGATCAGAGACAGCTGGATATTACTACAGCCCTAAACTATAGTCCTTAACCAGGACTACCCTGTACCTTCCTACCCCCAGGGAAGGTATAGTGAACTGAGAATGCAAAAGTAGGCAAATGGAACACATTCCTTGAATATGTTCTATTAGGTCAGCAGTGTTTTTCTATTTATTATGAGGTTTATTTCCAGGAGTCTAGGTCCTGACTAACCAGCCTATTTAACTAAAAAAATTTAACAAAAAAATTTCCTTCCAAGGGCTGGGAAGTTGGCTCAGTGGTAGAGTGCTTGCCTAGCATGCATGAGGCCCTGGGTTCGATTCCTCAGCACCACATAAGCAGAAAAAAAAAGCCGGAAATGGCGCTGTGGCTCAAGTGGTAGAGCGCTCGCCTTGAGCTTAAGAACTGAGGGACAGCGCCTAGGCCCAGAGTTCAGGCCCCACGACCGGACCTCCCCCCCAAAAAAATTTCCTTCCAAGATGCAGGGTACCAAAATAAAATACAGTGAAAACAGGGGATATACCACAGGGAGAAGAGCATAAAAAAGAAAAAAAAACCCACATAGTACATTAAAAACAACAACAAAGGAGGGAAACCATGGGACCTATATATCTTTGGGTCTGGCTTACTTAATATGATTTTTTTCCAACTCTTTCCATTTCCTAACAAATGGGGTGGTGTCATTCTTTCTTGAATATACACTTATTTAATTTGGGAAGGGGAAGGGGAATAACAAAATGCTGAAACAAGGACACAGGATGACCCATTGGAACAATGATACTCAGAAGAAGAAACTATGTTGTCAACAAACTTTACAACTTGGGGGGGGGGAGGTTGGAGGAGAGGGAAGGGATAGTAGGAGAAAAACAAAGGAGCAGGTAACAATGTTCAACAAGGAGCATACTCATTACCTCACTCATGTAACTAACACCTCTGTATAGCATCTTTACAATAAAACAAAATTTAAAATTTTTCCTTCCTTCCTTCCTTCCTTCCTTTTTAATCCCATGAATTCCCAAACCCCTCAGGTTAAACTACCATGGTCTGCTGTTATGTGCTTCATTTATAGTATATACCAGGCAGGATAGAACATAATAACAGAGCTTCACTGATAACATTGTTTGCTATACTTCCTTGGCCTATGTGCCACTCTAAACCTCAGCACCAACAGGCCTAACAGCTGGACCTTCTCCCCTAAGGCATGCTGATGGTTTCTGAATCATTACAATAAATTTTCCTCCCAATTAACCATGGCCATGCAGAATGAAAAAGGCACAAGCATGTTGTATTAAGCTTTAAGGACTGTTTGTCACTGCTAACTCAGAAGTCACAAACTGTAGACCTCAGATGAAATAGTACCTACCATCTTGTTTTTGTAAATCAAATGAACTGGGATATAAACATGCTCATTGTATTTGGGTTGTCTGCAACTGCAACTGGAACTTCAGCCAGGTTAAGTAGCTGCAAGCAGATCACATGGCTCACAAGGAAGAGAATATTTATCTTGCCTTACAAACAAGTTTGTTGAGCCTTGATCCAGTTTCTCTTGGCTGAGACAACCACATGAGATAAAGAAAAAAAAATCAAACTGTCTATCAAATGTGACTGCACATTAGCTAAATGGCCTTCACAAGTTTCTTAATAATTCTATAAACTTTTTGTTGCCTTGTGTAAAATGAAGATAAAACCAGTATGGAGCTGGGTGAGGTGATAACACCTACAATTTCATCTACTCTGGAGGCAGACATTGGGAGGATCATAGTTCAGGCCAGCTTGGAGAGAAGGGGAAAGGTTAGGTGGGGGAAATCTTAAAAAAAAAAAAAAACCCACAAAAACAATCTTAAGGCAAAGGTCTTGAAGTGTGTTCAAGTGGCCTAATAAGTGCAAAGTCTGGAGTTTAAACTCCAGTACTCCAAGGACAAAACAAAACACAGTAAGAATAAAATGAATTCCTGCTTGTACAATGCCCAGAATCAGTACCCAGAGACTAGGAAGGGGATCAGAGTAGCCAGAAACAAAGGATGGAATACAAATTGAGAGATGTAAGAACCTACAACACTGTAGGTATTCGTAAGTATTTGCAATTTTTATTCCAGTTATATAAAAATAAAAATATATTTGAAACAAAAATAGTAACAATGAAGTAAGGAAGCAAGGTTTAGCCGACACCATATTGGCCACATGGTGGATGGTAGGGTCTGGCATCTTGTCCTCATGCTGGGGGAAGAAAACTCTCCCTTCCCCCCCTCTCCCCTACCCCCCCTGCTTCCCAGGTAATGGGCTTGCCTAGACCCCTGGAGGCAAGGGCAGGCACTTGGCTAATAGGTTATTGAATCTGTCAATCTAGTGCCTGGGACTGGGAATTTCCTGAGGATCTACCCACTGTGCCGACCTATTTAGGCCAGGACCACCCTACCTACCTCCATGCCACATGTGTCTCCGTGATCATGTCCTGTGTCCAGTCTCCTGGCTCATCTCCAGTCATCATGGAGTCCCAATTCAGCTCTCCATTGGAGCTGAATTGGCTTGCTGGTTTTTGTTATTTCTTTCCTCCTTATCATGTTTCCTAGCTGTTATGTGTTATTTGCGTGCTGCAGGCCTTTGTAACAACTGACAGCCTGCAGCCTATTACCTGTATGATAAAGACTCCAATATTCTGTATTTTAAAATGTGGCTTCTGGAATGATTTACCTTACAACAGTTATCTCTTAAAATAATAAAAAAGGTATAACAGGCTTCTGTTTTCTTTTTTATACCATGTGGTTTTTTTTTCTATAATCAACATACATTAATTTTGACTCAGGAAAGAAAAATTAATGTTTCTTTTGTTTCTGGTGGTATTGGGTTTTCATTAAGGGCCTTGTGCGTGCCAAACAAGAGTCAATGTTTCTTTAATGCTGGAACTTTCAGTTAATAATGAAAACATTTCACAAAACATCTTTTGTTGACATTCTACAAATAATACCATCCAATAAGGTCCCGATACTCTCTTCTTGTGAAGACAGTTTATATATCTGTAAAAATGAAACATAAATTATTACTTGCTGATAGATTCATGCACAAATAATTTCATAAGTGAGATTTTCAGGTGAGATAATGATAGATCATAAATATGATTAAAATTTTCAAAGTACATGACAATTCATGACATATGCCAAATATTCCTTTGAAGTACACATATGAACATAAAAGACAATTTTTTAAGACATAAAACACAATATAAATTTTAAAAGCTGACTGTAAAGTAGCATAGTGATACATGACGTAATCCCAGCACTGAGGAGGCTGAGACAGGAAGATAGCAAATTTAAGGCTACCCTGGGCTACATAGACTCAGAAGAAAAAAAAAAGATACATAAAAGCACAATTTAGATACTGAAGTCATAATACATTTTATATTCTAAATGTAATACATAAGTTTGATATTTAAAGGTCCACTTTCTTAAAGGATGCTTTTTATCAATGACATTTTCTAGTTATGTTTTACATTAAACCTGCACCCTCTAAGTATTTGTCTGTTTGTTGCTCGGTTGATTTATTGTTGCTGCTGTTCTTGCTTTGAGTCAGGGGCTCACTGGGGCTCACTCTGTAGTCTTGTTTGGTTTTGTTTTGAACTCCTGATCTGTCTTGGCCTGTGAGAGTTGCAATTACAGATGTGTACCACCACAGCCAGCCACTTCCTAAAAATGTAGAACGCTTTTCCATGTTATTAAAAACACTGCATTAGTATCTGTTAGATGTTCAAAAAAACCAGCAGCAGCATTGTTCTTGATATTACACTCTAAAAATATGGATTTACAAACCTTTTTGACTTCTGCAATATTTGTTATTTCAGAAAGATTTTCCAGAGAAATCTGGTGACCTTCTACTTGAGAGATTAGGTCTTCTTGATTTATCTGTTTTTCTCCTTCTTCAATGTAAACAATTAGAACTGAAGTATCATTTGCTGAGATACCAAATTTTTTCAGAGCCTCTGAAATCTAAGGGAAAAAAACAAAACAAAACAATGAACCTACATCTTCTATGACTGAAACATTTCCTGACGCATCTTCCTCCTCAAATTCTTCCTGTTTTTCTTATCCTAATTGTCCCCTTCAAGAATCCCATCCCCACATCTACTATTACTGTCTGTAAAGTACTCTCCACTTACGCTGCATCTTGTTCCTATAGAATCTCAGCATGCCAGCGCTGACCAAGTGACCCTCCAGCCATACATTCCTGACTTCCTACCTACTTTTCTATCTACATTTAGGCTTTGTCTACTGTCTGATCCCATTTTTCTCTGGCTTAGCCTTATAGTCTAGCATTTTAAAAGGCTACTCCCTATCACACTCTTCTCTTTCCAGAATAAATGGCTTCTTTACTGTTCCTTTGGATTGGAATCACATTCCCATTAAATCATTTATCTTAGTGCATCTTAACTTCTATCTTGTTCATCTGATTCTCCTTAGAAATATGTTTTCTTTTTTGCCCTAAAACTATAGCTTGAAAAGAAATAGTATCAAGAATTATTTCAAATGATCTCTAAGAGGTAATATTTATGTGGTAAATTTTATTGCGGATACTGGGAAATTCTATTTGCGTACCAAGTGCATTTTATGGATTTTTCTCTTGTACGTATTTTAAACCATATCAATGTAAGCTTTCTAATTTTTCTCTAGATACTACTTGGTTGTAGTATTAACACTAAAATGTCATCAGCAAAAGTTCAGCCATATGCGAAAATGGAACTCGATGACTTGAGAGGATAGGTGGAGCTGGGATAGATGGAGGGGGTGGGGGGTGGAGAATGATGGAAAGGGTGACTCTGGTCAAGATGCTTTATAATCACAAATCATACATTGACATGCTGAATTGAAACTCCTTTGTAGAATTCTTTAAAGATAATAAAACAAATTAAAACACATATAAAAGTTTTCAATAACTATGACTAAAAAAAGGATTTCTAATTGAGCACTAATGGTATATACCTGTGATCCTGGCTGCTCAGACCCCAGAGCCTTAGAGGATTGAGTTTCAAAGCCAGCCCAAGAAGAAAAGTCTGTGAAACTCCATTTCTAATTAATTAGCAAAATGCTGGACTGGAAGTATGGCTCAAGTGGTATAATGCAGTTCTTAAGCAGGAAAGCCAAACAAGAGTACAAGGTGAAAAACCTAAGCAATTCCATTTTACTTAAGACCCCATCTCAGTTCTGCGACTTAACTCGTGGCCCACTTTAGCCCCAATGCTAGGATTTTATGACAGAAAGCCATGCACAATTCTTGGAGCCATAGATGGCGTTTGCTTAAGGCAGGTGTTAGCCCCCAAGTGACTTTGTCCCTGAGTGACCATGAGCTAAGAGTTTCAGTTAAAACCATATAATGTTCTGACCAACCAGTTCTTCAGAGCCCAGGGCAAAACATGCCATGCATACTGTTGGTCCAGGTGTGACTCATAACTGTTTGTGGTCAAGCTATGGACCAAGGATATTTTTCTGTAAAGGTTAACCAATCATATTTGCCCACCTTAGCTTGTTTTAAATGTTAACCAATCATGTAATTTCTTATGTAAAAGTTCCTTAAAGTTGTTTGTTCAATACTATAAAAACTGGGCTGATTTTACGCTCAGGGCCTCTTAGCATCACCGGTTGCTGAGTACGCAGAGGATCAAGCTCGAGCTTGCAATAAACTACTCTTTGCTGTTTGCATTGATCGTGGTCTCTGGTGGTCTGAGGGGGCATCTGAAAACAGGGTACTTCAAAGGAAGGCCTTGAGCTCTAGCCTCCAGTACTAGTACAGACAGAGGAGGGCAAGGGGGTGGGGTGTAAAGGTGAGGGTAGAGAAGCTGAGAATGGAAGGGGAAGGAAAGGAAGATTCCTATGAGAATTTAAAAACAGCATCTTCCCATGCACTGGGTATATAAGTGAACATATATTAAGAGCTGTACTAGATACCAGCAAGTTCTAGATATAGAAAAGACATGTATGCTACTCTCAAGGAGTTTTAGTAAACACAAAACATCTATGCCTAATGTTTTATCATTTGGCTTTCTAACCCTACATGGTAAGGACACATAGGACATACTAGCTTCATTTACTTTAGTTAAACTTTCATTTATTCAGTTAAACTTTCATTTATTCATATGGAAACTGACCACAGACCTTATTGTCCAGCAAGTGGCAGTGTCCAGAGCTCTGCTCATGATTACCTTGACTCATTGCTAACAACTGTTTGCAGGAACTCAGTCTACAACCCATCATGGAAGAACACACACAAAGGTTAAGACAAGGTCAACAGAGTAAATCCTACATTACATTGTTATTTGGGGAAAGGTTGAAAATAACTTCAGTAGACAGAGTTCTTGTCTTCATTTTTCCCAGTTTGTAGAGGTGAACTGCCTTATTTGCTGCTACAAGTATCTGAAATGGATCGACAATCTACAAAACAAAAAGAATTATACAGAGGTTATGGAGCACTCTGAAAATATGCATCCAATCTTATACTGACTCAGTGTGTCCAGTTGTTTGACTTTATCATGATTCTTTTTTTTTTTTCCAGTCCTGGGGCTTGAACTCAGGGCCTAGGCAGTATCCCTGAATTTCTTTTGTTTTACCACAGAGCCAACATGCCAATTCCAGGTTATTTTGTTTATGTGGTACTGAGGAACTGCACTCAAAGTCTTCATGCATGCTAGGTAAGCAATCTACCACTAAGCCACATTCCCAGCCCTTATCATGATTCTTATAGACTAATCTTCAAAACTATCATCTCAAGGGTCAACGATATATGTATATATATATATATATGTATATGTGTATATATGTCTATGTATATGTACATCCTACATATTAAAATTATATATTACATAATATAGTTATAATATATTACATATAATTACATGTTATGTATGTCTATATAATTCTGTAATGTAATATATAATTTTCTATATTATCATAACAGAATTATATTTAATATATACCAATATTATATACATGATTTTAATTCTTTACAACACTTAAGATAAATAGGGAAAAATCAAAATAACTAAATTGAAAGCTAATATGGGAAAAGCCATACTCTAAACATTTTAGTTATTTTATTTAATCCTCCAACTACTCAATGAATTCAATATTATTTACACATAATCATGAGGTAACCGAGGCAATAATGTGTGGGTTTAATTCCCAGTTCTATCTTTCCACCCTGTTTCTAAGTCCTATCTGTTAACAGCAGAAAATAACAGTTTTTGACAGAATCACTGAACATCAAGTTAGGATATAAAAAGCACTGAGAACAATGCTAGGGACAGAGTAAGTATGTAAGAGCTGGCTATGACTTGCTCAGTCACAGTAGGTGGCCGAGCTGGAATACGCCAGAGGAATGTGATCCCATAGTATGTGCTCTCAACACTTTGCTTTGCCTCCTCCACAGACATTGTCTTGTTCAAAACTCTCACTTGACAGGTAAGAAGCTGGAGTCTGGGTATCTGCTGGACCACAACAGGGCCAGAGCTAGACTTCAACCCTCTCTATTCCTAGGGAAGAGATGGTCACTTTTGCATCACCTCATTGTTAAATTCAAGATCGGCCCATTCTGACTTGGGTAAGAACTTCTTACTTGAAGATGACAAAATTTTAGGTGAACTTAAAAAACACTGTGAATAATTAACAGATTCTTTCTTTCTTTTTTTTCTTGGTGGGGGGGGGGGGGTTATCCTGGGACTTGAAGTCAGGGGCTTGGGTGCTGTCCCTGAACTCTTTTGCTCAAGACTTACACTCTACCACTTGGGCCACAGCTCCATTTCCAGTTTTTTTGGTTGTTAATTGGAGATGAAGATCTCACAGACTTTCCTGCTTTAAAATGTGATCCTCAGATCTCAGTCTCCTGAGTAGCTAAGATTACAGGCATGAGCCACTAGTGTCCCACAGATTACCATATTCTTAAATTTATTGCATAGCTAATTCATTCTTTACATTCTGTACTTACCACTGTAGGATTTATCAGTGCGCCATCAAAGTTGCTTTCCATGGCCTTTCTTCTCAAGTCTCCAGCATTTTTTACATCTTTAAATAACAGAAGTGTCACCCTGCATTCAGGAAATAGGTCTAGTTGATGTGTTAACTGCATTTCAAACACAAGCAGGAATCTACTAGAAAAAAGAAAAGACCAAAAGATTAATTCAAAAGCTGAGATTATCATTTGTTAATTCACAAATACTCTTGCCAACAAATGAAAAGTTTTAATAAAAAATATTAGAACTGCCAGGCACTAGTGGCTCATGCCTGTAATCCTAGCTACTAAGGAGGCTGAGATCTGAGGATCGCGGTTCAAAGCCAGCCCGGGCAGGAAAGACCATGAGACTCCTATCTCCAATAAACCACTAGAAAACCGGAAGTGGTGGTGTAGCTGAAGTGGTAGAGCACTCGCCTTGAGCTGAAGAGCTGAGGGACAGCGCCCAGGCAGAGTTCAGCCCCACGACCGGACCCCCCCCAAAAAAAAATTAAGAACTATTAACCTAGAAAAACCATCTCCAAAGTACATTTGGTATCTTTATGAGATGTTATCTTTCTATTCCTTCTAAGCTGTTTCTACTTCTTTTGTATTCATGGGAAAAAGTCAAGAGAGTTAGCTAGTCCCCCGATCATCAGATGGAGGCTCATACATGGGTTAAGGAGCTGTTTCCCAACTGTTCAACCAGAAGCAGAATGCCAGGAATTTATGGAGCCCAGGCTTCTTAAGTTGTTAATGAGACCTCATAAAAATGCACAAAGCTAGGTATCAGAGGCTTACATCTATAATCCTAGCTTCACAGGAGGCTGAGGACTACAGTTCAAAGCCAACCTGAGCAGGAAAGTCCATGACTCTTATCTTCAATTAATTACCCAAAGAGCCAGAACTAGTGCTGTGGCTCAAAGAGTTAGGACACTAGCCTTGAGCACAAAAGCTCAGACACTGGACTGGAACACACACACACACACACAGAGGAAAAAGGTATGTGAAAAACACACCAAAATACACACACACACACACACACACACACAGAAAAAAAAAGGTATGTGAAAAACACACCAAAATATATATAGCCATCCATCTTAAGTAGTGAGATTATTAGATTTATATTCTTCTCTAGTTAAAGTGTGTGTATATTCCGAATATTTTTATGTGTATGTTCTGAGTTTTCCATAATGAGCAAATAAAACATAAATATTTATAAGAAAGGGAAAAAAATCTTGTGTTTTTAACACAAGTAGGAAATGAAACCTTAGAAGCCCTCAAACTAGTTTTAGTGTAATTTATTCACTTAGGCTGGAAACTTTAGAATCATCATTAGGTGCTGCTATGTTCTGTCCTCTGTGAAACTCAAGTTGAAATTTAATTTTTATTATGAGATATTGCTAGGTGGAGCCAGCTAGGACCCCTGGGAGGTAATTTAGATTTTGCCCTCATAAGGAGATTAGAGACTGGTGTAATTAATGGGTTGACAGTCTCTAGAATGAGTAGGCCATAAAAGCCAGTTTGGCTAAGTGTCCTAACGAGCCCTCTGACACCATCAGGGCTGTATCAGCAAGGTTATCTATCACCAAATGTGGTCCTAGAACGTATCCATTAGCCAAAACAAACACATTTTCTTTTAATAATGTACTCTAACTTACCTGTGGCATTAAGCAACAGAAAATGTACTATGAAAGGTACCTTTTACCCAAACCCACATTCAATCACTACAGTCCTGAAGTTTTTATCTTCTCAGTATCTTGATCTGTGCATTTCTCTCCTATACCACTGCCACCATCTCTTATCTACAGCAGTCGCTTGTAAGAATAATCCCCTCAATGAAATTTCTGCCCTCCTATTATCCAACCTCTACCAATAGGCACAAGTAATCCCTTCAATATGTAAGGATAGGTCAGGGAAAGTGAACCATGGGAAACAGAAGCCAGAAAATCAGAAATAAATACTGTACTAATAAATAGCTTGAATAAAAGTACACACACCTGTTTCCTTTGCTTTATATCTTGCACTCCCTTAATAATCTGACACATTTAATAAAAAAGGGGAAAAGAGCAGATCTCTCCCTTTGACCTTGTTTGCTTGCCCAAATAATTACTGTGCTCTAAGGAACTGAGCAAGACTATATTAAAGGAATACACTTATTCAGAGGGTGTTGTTGGGTGTGTATGTGTGGGGGCACTCTTTGGAAATGATTACCATGGGCACAAAAAGTATGCCAATAAAAATATGCCTCCAGGGTAGACACTTACCTTGAAGGAAGCATCTGGCAGAACCTGCAAGGGTAGGGAACCTCTAGCCCTCAGGTTCTGTAAGGCCCACAAAATCATCTAGTACTTGATGGGACATGTATGCTCCTTATTGGCTGCTGTCAGGCGTCTGCTTGGATTTTTTTCTTTCTTTTTTTGGCATCAGGGCCTTGAACTTGCCCACGTTTTGGTCATGGATGGTGCTCTATCACTTGAATCATGCCTTCAGTCCAGCATTTTGCTGGTTAATTGGAAATGGAGTCTCTCAATTTTCTGCCTGGGATGGCTTTGAACCTTGATCATCTAGATATTAGCCTCCTGAGTAGATAGGATTAAAAGTACGAGCCATTGATGCTAGGCTTGTATGGTTAATTTTGTATGGACCATGAATGAGGTTATAAATACCCAAATGGCTTTTGGCAGTAAAAAAATTCCCACACCTGAATGAAATGTTGAAATATTTGTCATAATAATCTAAATTTAATAATCAAATCAATCTTAAAAACCTCTGGGGCCAAGTGATAATATTGTGTAAAAAGCAAGAAAAGCAAAATATAAAGATATCAGATCAAAAGGTAACACTCATAAAAAAGTAAATAAAAGCTGGATGCCTGTGGCTCATGCTTGTAATCCTACACAGGAAGCTGAGCTCTGAGAATTATAGTTTGAAGTCAACAAGGGCAGGAAAGTCTGAGATTCTGATCTCCAATTAAGCACTCCTCCCTCCCTCCCCCCCCCCCAAAAAAAAAGCCAAAAGTGGAGTGGCGGCTCTAGAATACTAGCCTGGAGCACGAAAGCTAAGGGACAGTGTCCAGGCCCCGAGTTTAAGCTCCAGGACTGGCACGAGCGCACACAGAATAAATAAAGAGGTGGGCGCTGGTGGCTCACTTTTGTAATCCCAATGAGGAGGCTGAGATCTGAGGATCACACTTCAAAACTGGCCTGGGCAGGAAAGTTCATGAGACTCTTTATTTCCAAAAACCACCAAAAAGCCGGAAGTGGAGCTGTTGCTCTAGTGTTAAGAGCACTAGCCTTGAGCAAAGAAAGCTTAGAGACACAGTGCCCAGGACGAGTTTAAGCCCCAGTAGTTAACACACACATTCAAATAAAAGCATTAATTTTTTTTTTAAACCATAATTACCCATTAGAATATTGGTTGCATCTGCTATTCGATGTGCATGTACCTATGTCTGGATTATGTACTATTTTTCTTTCCTTTTATACTAAACTTATTTTTTTTTGGGGGGGGGGGGGCTAATGTGTCTTAAATTTTTCAAGAATTTAAAAAATGTCTTTATTTTTCTGTGACAACATTAACAGGATACCCAAGGCCAGGTTCCTGTAACAAGATCTCGTTCTTGTGATGCTCCGTTGAGTCCTAACTTTGTGTCGCGGTGCCCAGGTACAGGATCTCAGTGCTTCCTATCTCTTTTGCTACCTCAGTGATGGCCTTCTCCTAGCCAGCTTCCCAACACGCAGTTTCCCTCTCTTCCGGTTTCCTCGTGACTTTAGAGTTCATTTGCTACGGCACCCAGGGGTCTAGCCCAAATATCTACTATACGAGCTCCTTCTCAGTATGGAGCTCAACTTTAGCAAACCGTGGGCTTAACCATGCTACTTTTACGAGACGGAATCTCCGGGGCTCAAGCGCTGCTCAAGTCGCCGAACGGCCGGCGCAGGCCGCCGCTGTCGCCCTCGGCCTCCCACTGACCCCGCGCCGGGGGCCGATGCTTTGACCTTCACTTTCTGGGCCTGGCAGAGATAAGTATCAGGTGACAGGACCGGAGGTATCAGCAGAAAGAAGCTGACAGCACTGCAGGGCACCAGCCCGGCCCACCGAGGCCCGGATGCCACCTCGCGGGCAGAACTCACCCTCCGCTCGCGGTCCGTCCAGGAAGATTCCCTCCCGGAAACAAAGCCCTCCACCTCCACTTCCGGGGCGGTGCGCAATCCCCGCCCTCCCAGAGCCGGCTTCCCGGGAGACTGGCTCCGGGGCACTATTCCTGCCCCGGGCACCAGACCTTTCCACACCCCGGCGGGCGGTCCTAGTGCCCTCCTTCTGTGCGCCGACGCTTTTCCGTAAGTCCCAGGTCTTGGGGCGGACAAGGAGAACACGTACTATTTCGTCACTTCCGGAGGAGGAGGAAGTAGCCCACGGGCCGAAGCCGGAAGTGGAAGTCGGGTTTTAAGCCTTAGTCTTGGCTTTGTTCTTGTTTCTTCTTGTGAAAGGAACAATACAATCCTCCGAGATGAATTCCGCCTTCGTTCCCACTGCCTGGCATCCTATAGTTATTTTCCTGGCAGTAGGCCTTGATTTCGCTCGTGCTCTCCCAGAAGTCACCGGGGGGGGGGGGGGGGGGAGGTGGGGTCGTGGAGCCCCGGTTTCGGGCTCCTGCTCCTGGGGGACTGGAGATGGGTATATCATACGTAGATGAGATCAGTCCAGTAAGGCTGGTTCTTTATCTAGAGTAGGCTCAAAAAAATCTATAATCCTGTATAAAGCTCTCAGGCTAAACAGGTTGTAAATGATTTTTTAAACAACCATTTAGTTGTACAAAGGGGTTACAATTCAGTAAGGATGAGTACAACGCTTAGTGACAATGTCACCTCTTCATTCTGCTCCATTTCCCCCATTCTATACCCACAGTTACTGCTCACTTTTTGCTTATTGTACATTGATTACAATTGTCACCGGCTAGTGGTGAGGTTTAGTGAAGCTCCCCTTTACTTATAGGAACTCTTCACTTAAGGTTCTTGACTTCGCAGAATCCCCCTTAAGAATTTCTGGACAAGTCACAATGGTAAGAAAACTCGATAGGGCTTTATTAAGTAAACAAGCAAGGAAACAGACAAAAAAAGCAAACTGAAGGGCAGGGGCACACTCCAGCAGAGTGTAGGTGCTCTCATAGGGACACAAAGACACAGACATACACAAGGAGACACCCAGAGAGACACAGCTCCTTGAGCTGTTGGTATTTATAGGGTAAAGGCAGGGGTTCTAGCTTTAAGTTATGCAAAGCTAGGTGCTTTGTCTTTGCTCTAACTACAGCTGGTGTTATTTCCACGTAAGAATACATCTGCTGTAAAGCAGATCCTTGTCCTTGAAACGACCCGGCTAATCTGTATTTTGGCATCCTGTCAGGCAGTTGTGAATTCTTAGGCGAGAAATACATCCCTCAGGAAAGAATGCATTCAGTTGCTTCTCTTTGAAGCAAAGATAGCATCTCTAGTTTCTAGATACCATATTTTTGAGTTGCCTACACCAGGCCTTAAGTTTTCCAGCTTCATTTCCCCCCAAGTGACTTTGTTCCCTTAATCCTAAGGGAAGTAGATGGGCAAGCTTTCAGCTTGAATCTTTGAATCACTGGCATCCATTTATCATGCCTCATTATGACTATGTTTCCTCACCCTTCCTCTCTTAGTTCCTGTGCCCACCCCCAAAACACAGTTCCACTTCCTGGTTTTTTGATAAACAGCATATTAATTGTCCAGAGTAGTTATGCCTATGGATTTCTCCCCTACGTATATTCTTTTAGTTTGTGTGCAAATGCATTGAACCTTGTATACGTTATCACACATAGTTGTGTTTTATATTTAGCCTCTACATGAGAGAAAGTAATGTGATTTGTCTCTGTGCCTGGCTTACTTCACTTAACATGTATTTTTCTAGGTCCATCCATTTACTTGCAAATAACATAATATTCTAATGGATGACTAAAGTTCCATTGTGTACATGTACTACATTTTCTTGATCCATTCATACGTTTTGTAGAGCACCTGGGCTCTTTCCATATCTTCGATATTGTAAACAGCACAGCAATGAACATGGATATGTAAGTGGTTTTACTATATGTTGAGTTTTAATGTTCTGGATTAGATGCTCAGGAGTGGTATGGCTGGATCAGAGGGTAGTTTTTTTTTTTTTTTTTCAAATTTTTTATTGTGATTAAGTGGTTATATAATTCCCCGAATTTCACAGTATTATGGGATAGTGATGCTTAGTTAAAGTCACAAACACACTCTTTCATGGAGCAAATTGTCTATCATGGTCTATAACATTTATGAGTTCTATGAGCATTGCAATAGTTATTTCTTCCACATCAGGTGCTATGTACATTTCTTTTGTTTTGCAAAGCGTCAGCTGTTCCCTCTTTCCCACTTGTTCCCTCCCTCCCATCGCTGCCATTGAGTGGCTTAGTTCATTTTGGTCAATGTCCAGTGCAGCTGATGGGTCCCACTGTGGTATGTTTTTCCCTGATTCCCTCTAGTTCTGTGTATCAGAGGGTAGTTTTTTGAGGAATCTCCAAACTGTCTTCCAGACTGGTTGTACTAATTTGTAAATTATTTTTTATTTTCTTTATGGTTGGGGCCCTTCATTACTACTTGTCATTGGCTGGAAAGACAGGCAAATGACATTGCTGTCAGGTGGTTATATGATATGAAGAGAGGGAATGTCAGGGTCGCTGTATCTCTAAATAGGATAGTTGAGAAACATCACTTTGGGACTAGAAGTGTGATATAAAGCATCCAACCCTGAATTCAAGTCTCCAGTCAGGGAAAAACAACAACAAATCACACCCAAAGCAGGGCCTTAGGCACGGCAGGCAAGTGTTGTACCACTATGCTACAGTCTTAGGCTGAATTTTTAAAAATTTTATAATGTCTTAACAAAAAAACAAATTTTTAATTAAAATTTGTATTTATATCAGACTCAAGTGTGTCTTCAATACATTCACAAGCTGTTTAATTTTTAAATTTATTCTGGAACTGGTATCCAGATTATATGAAAACTGAAACTCAAAAAACAAACCTAATTAAGAATAGGTAACATTTAAAACACACTTAAAAGGCCAGAAAAAAAAAAAATCCTTTATCACCAGTCATAATCTTGAGTACCAAGATCACAATGTCATAGAAAGAAGCAAAAAAAAAGTGTATTAGTAAAGAGGAAATGCAAATTTAAAAAAGTAGATATTACTACACACTGCTTGAGCATGATGACTAAAATTTGAAACAAAATGCAAAGGGTTGTCAAAGATACATAACTGGAACCCTCATATATTGCTGTATTCAATGAGAATGGAAATAAGCTAAAATTACATTTCTGTAGATTCTGTTTCAAGCTAAAATCACACTGTTGTAGGATTCTATTTTTATGTTAAAAACTTAGGATCTACAAATATGCTTTACAGTGATAGCAAATCAATGGTTAATTGGCATTGGGAGATGAGTGACACTGACTCCAACGGAAACTTTTCGAGTAAAGACAATGTTTTGTATCTGGATGTGATGTTTCATGGGCAAATGAATTTGCCACATTCATCAAATCATACTCTTTAGAATAAAGTGCATTTTACAGACTATAAGTGGGCCCTAAAAAGTTGATTAAAAATACATCTATTTGTCTCAGTTCATTGCATCTCCTTTATAACAATCAACTTTATAATAATCAAAAGCTGGAAATAAGGCTGAGTGACTCAAGTGGCAGAGCATCTGCCTAGCAAACACAAGGCACTGAGTTTGAATCCCAGTACTATTACAGGAGAAAGCTAGAAATAGGGCTGGGTGTGTAGCTCAAGAGGTACAGTGCTTTCCTAGAAGCACAAAGTCCTGGGTTTAATTCCTAGCATGATAAACAAAAGCTGAAAACAACTCACTAGTGAATCAATAGTCATATCCATACAATGGAATACAACTCAGTAATAAAAGGAAATCTACTATCTATACTTTAACCACTTTCTCAATACTGATCAAAAACAGATAGACATAGAAATAAAATTCCATTTATATAAAACTAACCTCTAATGACAGAAAACAAATGAGTTGTTACTTAGGGGACCTAGGGTGGAAAAAAGGGTTACCAAAGGAAATGAGGAAACTAGGATAATATGTTCTACTTTGTGGCAATGGCATACATGACAAAATATATTACTATTTTTGTTATGTCTCTAAAACTACTTAAAAATAACGAGTGGAGTATGATGGCACATGCCTGTAATCCTACCATTAGGAAGGCAGAGGCAGGAGGGTTGTTGAGTTTGAGATTAGTCTGGACTATACAGCAAGATCATCTCAAAAAACAAAACAAGACAACACTACATCTTTTCTATTAGAATAGCTAAAATAAACTGATAATGCTAAGTGCTGGTGAAGATATGAACAACCACAACTCTCATACCTTGTAAATGGGAATGCAAAATAATATAGCCATTTTGGTTAAGTTTGGCAGTCTCACAAAATTAAATATACCCTAAACCCATGGCAGCAATGCCAATTCAAGGGAAAAATATGCCAACATTAAAATCCATATGCCAAAAAAGTTTTTAGTAGCTTTTTTACAAAATTCAGTAACTAAACCTGAATATCCTTTAACTTGCAACGTATAGTAAGCAGACTGTGGTATGTCCATACAATGAATACTAATTCAGCAACAGAAAGAAATGATTGGCTAATCTGCTTGGTGACATGGGTGAACCTCAATAGTTTCAAATGAAACAAACCATGGTCCATCTAGATACTATAGAAAAGGCAAAACTATAAAACAACAATACGACAACAAACCATATCAGTAGTTGGAGCTGGAGCCTAATACTATGAAGGAATTTGGAGTAGAGAACGATTTTATATTTCAGTCGTGGAGGTGTTTACAACTGATATATACTTGTCAAAACTCAGAACTATATACTAAAAAGGGATGGATTTTTCTGTTTTTTACAAAGAGTTATCTCAGAGTTAAAAACGATTCCTTCATCTTCAAATACAGGGAAATACAGATTTGGGTTCAAGAGATCTAAATAAGAACTTTCCTAAGAATATTACTCTCATTCTCCTCTGTGATATATAGACTTGCGTAAATACTCATGAGTGTTAAAATGAATTTAACACTTATATGAAAAACTAATAATGTAAAACACTCAGATTCCACAAACTATTCCTAATCACGTGACTATAAGCCCCAAGATGAAATTTTTTTGTCAGTTGTGGGGCTTGAACTCAGGGCTCTGTCCCTGAGATATAGCGCCAGTTCTGGTTTTCTGGTTGTTAACTGGAGATGTCTTACGGACTTTTCTGCCTT